AGATTAAGACAAATACACTATGATCGTCGAGATCAATGGATTAGCATAATATTATTTACTATTAAAACAGCCCTTACGGTACGTTTCATTAGAACTCTACTTTTTTATTTCTTAAGACACAACTTCATTTTCATCTATATTTATTTTTAATATAGATACCCATTCTAGCCTTACAACGTGCTAGCCTTGTTTACGATCCAATAGCAAAATTACCAGTATGTTATCACGATCGTGACCCTGCAGAAAGATACTTTGAATGGAGTTCTATCATCTTTGACTTTATAATTGATATATACGTCACAGTACGACTTGTGCAAATTCTAAAGAGAGCAAACAGAAATGCTGCACAGATATCAACAAACATGACTCATAAAAGCAAGCGCTCATTGTTTACGGCCGTTATGTATTGGAATTTCCTGCGAATGTTCTTTGCTTTCGTTTTTCATATAGAATCAATCTCAGGTTTAATCAATGAAAAAATTTACAACATAGCGGCGGGTGCCACTATTAAAACAATTATAAACATATCTTTGTCCTATGTTATTACTGTTGACGCTGAAATTGTTAAAGTCATCGAGGGTAGAAATACATCTAAAGATTCAAGCGGTGGATCGGCTGGTCCCGAGAAATCGTTTAGAAGTATACAAAGTCCACGCACACCGCGCACACCACCTAAATACAAAGCAACTCAATCATCCGAATCAAATGACATACCTTCACCTTCCTTTAAACTACCCTCTGCGGCGCAAACAAGTCAATTCGATAAAAATAAACACGCAGTTATATCAATGAAGAGACTGTCCTTTTTCGAGTGGGCAAATTTCGTGGTAGGAAAACGTGCTAATAAAAATACCTTGGAAGTTACCTATGAAGATGAAGCTGAGACTGCTGATGCAGATGTTGAAAAAGGATATGATAGACGAAGAGGCAGTGGTCTAAGTGCCGCATCCACATCATCCACATCATCCACATCTACAGACGATAATCATATTGTTTCATAATTAAAATTTTATACGTACGCATATATAGTTATGAAATACAATTTTTTAAAATTAATTTTATTTAATTAACATTAATAATTTTTTATCCTATCAATTTCGGATTTCGAATTCACTTATAAATAAATATGGTTCACAAAATTTTAGCGTGTCGTAACCTGTTTTTTTTCGATAAACGAAATTCCTCCTGTGAAATAATGCAGTATATTTATATTATAAAATTTCCGGCTGCTTTAAAACTACACCAGAATTCATCTAACCTCTAGCATTTTAAATCGAATTTTGTGCTCTGGTTCTTGTTTCAAAATATCATTAAAAATAAGTTTTTAGACCTGAATAAATAAATTAACAATGACAATAAGTAAAAACTTTGCAAACAATCTATATGGGTCGTTTGCTAGGAAATCACTGTCTGAAGGGTACTATACCTGTGGCCGAAATCTTTCGGCAAATGGCAAATTGCTTACTGCTATTTTCATAATTCCTGGAACACCTGATAAAATTGACCGAATGATTTTTCGGCCGTTCCGATTAAGTCATTGATTTCGGATCTAAATTACGTTACATACATTGTAATTTGATTATGTATATATGTTTTCGCACAAACTAAGATGTTGGGCAAGTGTTCAAATGAAAATTTAATATCAAACGTGTCGATATTTATATACGGGTAGAAATTTGGGTAATTTTACATATAAGTTTCTGGCATATAATATTTGTATGTAAACAACGTTGGCTAAAAATTTTGTAGAGCTAACATATAAAGTTTAGTAGTGCTGGTAAAACTTTCGCACTATTTAATTGCTAATGTAAAAGTTACGTACGTACGTACGTACGTATTTACGCGCATACGTACAATTTTGTATTTTTATTGTATCAAATATTATTCCGAAATTTCAAACTTAATCGAATCGGCTGGAGTACCATTCGGTCAAATTTTTATCAGGTGTTCCAGAAATTATGAAAATAGCAGTAAAGTAAATTTTTGTGGTTTGGCCGGCATTAAGAAATTAAATTTAATAATTCGGTCAGATCACGTGATATCACGTGATATCACGTGATTTTGGATTATTGCCCGGGTCGGTTAAAGCGGAGCGAGATCTAGGATAACCTTTTTGATGCAGTTATGATAGCGGGTTATATATATATATCAAGAATGCAACTAATGCAGTACGTAGATCACATATTGAATTCGCTCCGCTTTAACCGACCCCCTAAAATTTTGTCATCCCGAAGTTCTCGAAATTTTAATTATAGATCCATAATGTTCGGCATCCCTGTTAACCATCCCCTCCAAAATGTGGATTGCTACGGGCACATTTCACGTGCTTATATGCTTATGGGTAGAGTGTCCAGGATTATAATGCGGCATAATATGCGCATAATTTAATAATAACTCGCATAATGAGGTTTTTTTTAGCAATAAAATTGCTTATATTAATTGAGTGTCGTCAAAAGAAAACCCGTAATTTTAAAAATAGATTATTATGAAATTCATAATAATCTATTTTTAGAATTGCGGGTTTTCTTTTGGCGACACTCAAATATAAGTCTCAGTAACCAATCATTGCACTAGATAATTTTTTTTAATTATATATGATTTAAATTGGCCAATGAAATTAATTTTTATACTCCGTTATAATAAATGTCACACTGGGGTGGTCGATCATCCAATAAAATCATATTGTTTATCCTGTGATAAAAATAAAATAATCATAAATTTATTATGTAAATTATTGGTTGATTTACAAGCACAGTGCAGATGATATAGTATAAAAAAATCGATTTTACTTCATATTTAACATTTTTAAATTCTATAAAAACAAGATGTTTAATGAAAAATTTCTTTATAAAGTAATAACGTTAGAATTTTATCTTACTACCGGTAATCGAAATATGTCACGGCTTAATTTACTGCGATCATGTAGTAATTCATTGCCCGGGTTTTCTCATAAATTTTAAGAGAGCTTCGGCAAATATAATTTTATTTGTACATGTTTATTGGTTCAAAAGTTACTAAGGAATAGATTTTTATAAAAATCCGGCCATCGATTTACTATGTAGCCCACATGTGGCCTGCATTATGTTTGTAAACGTGTGATAGCAGATACCCAGGTAAGCCGTGACATATTTTAATTAGTGAGATAAAATTCTAATGTTATTACTTTATAAAGACACTTTTCATTAAACATCTTGCTTTTATAGAATCCAAAAAAAGGATGTTCTATAGAATAGGTGGGCAATATAAGAAATAAGCTTCGCTAATAATTAGTAATCATTAATTTTTTAATATCGGAATTGTGAAGTTGATAGAGTTTGCCCACCTATTTTATAGAACATCTATCAGAAAAACTATTTTTAATATTAATTCTACTAAGTAATTTTTTTAAACTTAGTAGCATAATTATCCACTTTTTCTGTATCCTTTTGCTATAGTTGATATAATTTAATTTGCTAACAATATATGATTATATATAAAATTATATATATAATATATTTTTTTTTTAGATACCCCTTTAGAATATTATATAATATCTGTTATTGCTCTAAGGGGCTTACAATAATAATTTACAATATTATTATAATAAAAGAAAGACTTTGTTTTGCTCACTACTATCATTCACTTTATAGCCATTTCAACTATATTTAAATCTTAATATTTGGTCTTCTTTTATTTTTTTTTATATATCTTTTGGTCTTTAGATTTCATATTAGTTATTTTTAATTATTATTTGGTTAATAACCATCACTTTAGTCCGTAATAGTAATAATATAAACAAAAAATTAGAAAAAAATTAGAAATTTAATTGCAAATCAGATAGAGATTAGAACTATCTAAAATTTTTCTTAATTGTTTAATTATTTAATCATTTAATCATTTAATTTGGCTGGCATTAATATACTATAATTCTAGCCTACAACCAATATGATTTTATCCAGAATTATAAACAATTTTTAAATGATTAAACAGTTTTAATCTCTAATAATAGGCAGATTTTACAGGTCAAAATCAAAAATATTATTATAGTATTATCTAATAATTGCCTATAATAATAGCAGACCAATAGGCTGTTAGCTATAAACCAATTGATTAGATATAAAAAAAGCTGATAGACTAATGTTTTTAGTAAAATATATTACATATTGGTTTAATGCCAGATAAAATATCTATTTATCATAAAGAAGATTAGTTAATCTTTAAAAAGATATAAAGAAGATATTAATAAAATATTCGAATGATGATTTAATGATTTGATTAATCATAGGCCAATATTATAATAGCTATTTAATAAAGATTTTTGATTATTTATATAATATACTACTGATATTTTAATAATTGTTGAATGTTTTAGAGAATTAAAATATTATTATCCTTTAAACTGTATATTTAAGTGTACAAATTTTTATGCTTAAATTTTTAGAAGAAAATTGTGCTTTAAAAAAATTTTTTTTTAACAAAACCTCTATTCTAATTAGTTATAGTAACTTTCAGAAACTCAAATCATATGATACAATCCACAATTATGGTGTGAGACACTTCATGTGGCCTAAACAAAAGCAAAACTTCACCTGATGACCATGAAGTATGCTTTGTGGCCCAAATTTTGAGCTGCCATATCTCTATAGCATCATTTCAAAAATCAATAATATAAAATTGATCATAAAGAATCTTTGATCAACTTTAATATTGCATTATGAAAGAAACTTATGTATAACAATTGTGAAGAATCTTTATAAGTATCATGTGCAGTTTTCTTTTTTAGTATTAAATATGGACATCAAAGTCCTATTACGATCCTATTATGATTCACGTTAGATACCTAATTTTGAAATATTATAAAAATTTTTTTATAAAATAGATAATATATAGCATTCAACATATAAAATGTTTTTATTTTAGCTTAGAAAGTGGAGAGTAAGACTTAATAAAATTTTGAATAATAGGTCTTTAAAAATTTAAGTATACAAATATGTACACTTTATAGTTTAAGGGATAATATCATCTATAAAAATTTGAATATTATAATTATAAATTGTTTTTTTTTTGAATATTAATGGTGAGACCATGTCTCTGTCTTTATTGAAATTTAATTAAAAACTTTTATATAGAAAAGAATTACAACTTAAACTTCATATCATATGATAGCAAGAAAAGAGACTCAGACTAGTTTATCTGCGGCCTAAACTAATATAATTATAAATTGTTTTTAAGTAATTTAATAATAATTATTTAAAGATAATTATCAATTAGAAATATCATAGACCAATATTTTTTGTTTTTTTTAATAAAATTAATTAGATGATATTATTCAGATAAAGTAGTTTATTTATTGATAACTAATGATATATTTATTTTCTTCATATCTGATTTTCTTTAAGATGATATTTTATTTATTTAACTGTTATTATCATGATATTTTGAAGATTTATTATAAAATATTCTAATTATTATTGATATTTTAATGATATTTACTGATATTTTTTGTTTTTTTTTTAATAAAATCAATTAGATGATATTTTACAGATTTAATAGTTTATTTATTGATATTAAATGATTTATTTATTTTCTTCATATCTGCTTTATTATAGAATAATATTTTTTTTTCCTTCAGCAATCTTGTTTACTTTATTATAGGAACAGAATTTCATCCTTACACAGCATAAGAAATCTAAATCTATAAGTGTTCTAACCAAAATGTAAACTTACTCACAGCATATCTTGCAGATGCTATAACATCTACTTGTAGTCAAGGCAAACCATTAAACCGCTGTGTTTTGCCCAGATGTGACTCGTCTAGCAACACTTGGCCTCCTCTAAAGATCCAGAACTTACTCCGAACTTATTTCTCCCAGCTGGCTGTTGCTTACCCCGTCAAGATTCCTGCTCTACAATAGAATGCTGCCAAACTGATAATACTTTCTTATAGAGAAGAAAAAAAAGAAAAAAAAGAGATAATGGAAAATAAAAAAAAGGGTAAAAATAAAACTAATATATCAAAGAA